GGGGGGGGGGGGGGGGGGATTTATTCGAGTGATGGGGAGGTTTGATTGAATGGAGATTTCATTGAGTGATAAATTACTGAGGAATCATTCGATCGGGTTTAATTAGTTTTTGCAGATTGTTTTCGGGGATTGATGGCGGGGGGTGAGTGATTGAATGCGGGGGGCACATGAATTATTGAAGGAAGATGAGGGTTTTCAGTATTTTGAGGTTTCTGGGGGATATTTAGTACGTCTGGGAAGGAGGTTATTGCTGGCTCCTTGATTCGTTGGGGGCACAGAGAAAATAGGTTTGATATTCGGTGACATGTCACTGATTTTTCGGAATTTATCCCCAACTATTACATGGAGAAGAAAAATAGTTTTGAAAAATAAGTTTTTGGGGAGTTTCGTCATTGAAAATTCAGTATTTCATGGGGAAATAGATGAGAACTGTGAATATCAGTTTAATTATTTTCTGAAAAATGATAGAAGTAATCGGAGCCGAAGGCGAGAATTATAATCACATTCGCCAGATAATGCTTTTATCGTCGTGTGACATATGATATTTTATGTCGTTGGGCCCGAAACGATCCTCCAAATCGAACCCTCGAAAAACTGCCAGAATTAATTAATTTCATTATGTTCAGCTTTTGCCATGTTTTTAATCAGCTTAAATTCAAAATCATGTCATGTGTAAACTCTGCCGAATGATAATTACATTGCGGAATGAAATTGATTGCTCTTGCATTAACCCAACTTCAAATAGATCCATTTCACCGAATTTTCACTGAGTTATTTTGATAATTAACATCATTATATCCACGGTATTATTGTCGAATCGGTATGAAGGGTCTGTTACCGGCGTATTACGAATATTGGCGCTATTTTTCATTATCTCGGAATTTTCTGTCGATTGCGTTTGCAAATTTTCTGCCTATCGTGTTTTTCCCGGTGAGAGGTTTGTATACTCGTCGTTTATATCGCTTGTAATTGGCAGGGGTGACGGTACGTGGTCGTATCAGCAAGTTAAGGCGACCATATATTCAGTTGTGAAGTGCATGGCGGCGAGTAACGAGTAGAATTATTGGAATTGACTTCCCCTTGGAGAAAACATAATTCTTCAAAATTTTTCCGAGTGCACATCGCGTTTTCCGGAATAATGCGGTGGCTCAAAGTTTTCTTTGTGGTTCTCATCACTGTCATTTCGATGGATTTTGGTTCAAGTAATTCAATTTACATTTTTTGCAATTTTAATTCTCGAAATAATTTTTTTTTCAGTTACGAATGATTTTTTAAACTCAAGACCTACAAAAAAAATCTCATAAAATATATTCTCATGCATTGATCGGAGGTATTCTCTGATTGCGAATTGAATTTTGAATTGAATACAGAAATAAAATCATTATAAGGGGCAAATAATCCAATCAATCCTCGATCTTTCATTTTTCAGCTGCAATGTTCTCCGACCTTAATACAACATGCAAACAGAATGAACACTGCACTGACTGGTGCCTGTACGTGTACAAAAAGAACGTCAAACCCCGCTGCACAGACGGCAGTTGCCTGTGTTAACCCTTATTTTTGCCGCAGTTACTAAAAAAAGAATCGTAAGTAATGTAAATACGAAATGCTCAGTGCGAGCTCATAAATGGCGGCGTTCACTCTGACGAAAAATTACCTCGCAATTTGCGTCTTAATTTTATAACTTGAACTTGGTGGCTTGCTGGGGCATTAGCATCTGGGGTGAATTTACCCCACTCGCTTTTAACAACTGCCCAAGGGTTTGAAAATTAGAGCGAATTACGGAACTACTGTTATCAGGGCTTTTTGTTATCGCATGCGCATTCATTGTCCTTGCCGGCTAGAATATTTACTGTGATGCAGGTGTATTGGCCGAAGACATTTCCGCTTTATCATGTTTTATTCAGATGGCGATAATGGGTTTCCCGGGAAGTTGATACATTTTTTCTTTCATTATTATTATTGTATTTTATTTAAAAAACTGGGGAGTATATTTTACTCATGTAGAGACTTGTGCTTCAGGTAAATACATTCTATTACTCATGTTTTCATTTTTTTTCCATTCATGTTGAAGATAAAAAGAAACTGTATTGATTGAATTTTTTTCAGCTGACAGGGGGATGTCGTTGGAAATATATTTCGGGAGTGATGAATAATGTTGTGCGACTGTTTATAAATGCATCGGTGAGTAAATGTGAAGTCTTGAATTGGGGAATTTTAATGTTACATTGAGTTGTTAAAACGTAACAACTGAAGCAAAAGAACATCCACACCCTACCGATCGTATATTATTTTACTTTCCCATTAACAAAAAACCACCCCCCTAACCAATTTGCTCATCTATATCCCTTTCTTTCCTCTGAATTCGTAAATCGTTAGCTGCAACAACTCGTGACCTCTGAAAAAAAACCTAAACAAATAAATTCAGTAGCGAAGCGGTAAACCGGGTTAAGTCGATTTTGACTATCGGCCAGTTTTTGACGAATATCTGGGAATCTAAAAGAGATAGAAAAATTTTTGTCATGACCTTTTTTGTAGAGTCAATTGAGGGTTATAAAAAAGGTAATGAGAAAAATTTTGCTATCTCTCTTATATTCCGAGATATTTGTCAAAAAATTGGCAAAAGTCAAAATCGACTTAACCCGGTTTACCGCTTCGCTACTGAATTGTAGATTGTCAAATTTTTCTGTAATTTTTCATGTTTTCTAAAAGTTTAAAATAACCAGTAACCTAGTGGAAAATTGTGCTTGAAACGTGATTCCCTGTGCAACAAAAAAAAATCCGTAAATCCCATCCAAAGCGCAAAAATTGAAGCAAAAGGACATCCACAGCCTCCCGATCGTTTATTATTTTACTTTCCCATTAACAAAAAACCACCCCCTAACCAATTTGCTCATCTATATCCCCATCTTTCCCCCGAATCCATAAATCGTTAGCTACACCAACTCGTAACCCATGTACCAACGGAAAAAAATATATAAAAAAAGAAGCACCAGCAATACTAAAAAATATACGAACGCTGATATTATCCCCTGCACCTGGGGCATTTCGGAATTGCGGCTGGATTGACGATTGCCCGGATATACACTGCAGTAACCGTTGGTATGACGGGCGAGTTGGGGGGTCAGAGTGATCTCCGGTGAAATCGCTTAACCACCCACCACATAGAAAAATACGCGGGACTAAGGGGGTGATTCGCTCAGCGTTATATCGTTCATTTCGATTGCCCGATGGACGAAATAAGAGAAAATAAAATGTTTTCGACAAAAAATATATATAAAAAGCAAAACATGTGCGCGCAGCCGCGTGCAACACACTCATGCAGAAAATCGAGCCGGAATTCCGGGAGCTATCCGGACGATTCTCCTAGCGCTTCAGAAAACCCTTATACCCCATTCTCTTTTCTCCACTCCTCTCCACCTCCATTTCTCCCCCTCAAATGTCGAAAATGCGCGATGGAATTTCCACCCGCCACTCCCCCCTCCTCACATCGATCCACTCCCGCGCGTTGTCTCATTTGAAACTCATTTTTACCCCCCCCCCCCCCCCC